GGCCGTCTGTCTGGCTCCTCTTAGCTTTTCTGCTCACCCCTATCGGTGGATTTCAGGAGCCAGGCTGATTCCCTGACCTACTCTTCCCCCTCCAGACACCAGAACCATCGTTGTTGCCATCTTCAGCTGCATCTCCATCCTTCTTCTCTTCCTCTCAGTCTTCATCATCTACAGATGCAGCCAGCACGGTGAGCTCAGAGAACGCAAAGGGAGAGAGGGGGAGTGAAGGATTTTCTCGGTAGGTAAATTCCTCCTGCATTTTTTGTAGGTTCGTCGCCTGAAGAATCCACCAAAAGGTAGATGCTTGGCATAGCTCATGCTCCCCTTAATTCCCATGTCATTCTCCAGGGAACCCATTGGCACATTTGGGATTGGTACCCTGAGCCCCAACCCCAGCCCATTCTGTGACCTCCCTCCACTCCCCTCCTCTCCCCTCCATTGCCCTCACCCTCTCCCCGAAATCTTCATATCCCATCCTTTCACGTGTCTCTCTCTCTCTCAGAATCAGCCATTGCAAACTTTCGGAGCAGGAGGCTGCTGGTAAGGGACAGGGAAAATGTAAGGGAATCACCGGATAGAAGGACTTAAGTTCTGACTCCTACAGCTGAAAACTGATTTTCTTTTTTTTCTCTCTCACTCAGAGGCAGATTTATCCAGGATGGAAAGGGTATCTGTCTCGGTGAGTCCTCCCGCTTAGGAGTCCCACAAGAGCTCCCTCACCACAACGGGCTGGTCGTGTCTGCCTCCTGGTTAAGCCCATACAGAAACGTCTACTATTTATCACCCGTGTGGTCTTAGACAACTCCCCAAAGGAGAACCAAAATCTCTATTTAAAAGGCATATGCGCGGGGCCGGGTGCGGTGGCTCACGCCTGTAATCCCAGCACTTTGGGAGGCCGAGGCAGGCAGATCACGAGGTCAGGAGATCGAGACCACCCTGGCTAACACAGTGAAACCTCATCTCTACTAAAGATACAAAAAATTAGCTGGGCGTGGTGGCGGGCGCCTGTAATCCCAGCTGCTTGGGATTCCGAGCCAGGAAAATGACTTGAACCCGGGAGGCGGAGGTTACAGTGAGCCGAGATCACGGCACTGCACTCCAGCCTGGGCAACAGAGTGAGATTCTGTCTCAAATAAATAAATAAACAAAAATAAAAATAAAAAAATAAAAGTCTTACGCCGATCCATTGATGTCACACACATAAAGGGCTATAAAAACAGAAAAGAAAAAGAAATGCATGTGGTGTGACCGAGGACCTGGATTTTGAATTTAATTTAATTGTAATTAATTTAAATGTCAATAGCCACGTGTAGCTAGTGGCTGCCATATTGACCACTCAGTTCTAATATTCATCTATTTTCTCCAAAGACGGCAGACCCCCAAGGAGTGACGTATGCTGAGCTAAACATCAATGCCCTATCTGAGGCAGCTTCTGACACCACCCAGGAGCCCCCAGGATCTCATGAATATGCGGCAGTGAAAGTGTAGCAAGAAGACAGCCTGGGCCACTAAAGGAGGGGGGATCGTGCTGGTCAAGGTTATCAGAAACGTGGAGATGCGGATGACTCTGTGTCCCTTGCTCCTCATCCGTATCAATAAAATTAAGTTTCTCATCTTAAAAAGAAATCTGATTTATGGATTATTCATGCCCAAGAACCCCACCATACTCTTTCTACCCCACATTTCCTCCTAGAACAATTCAAGGAAATAATAAATAATTATTGATCAGCTATCCAGCAAAGAATGTAAGAATTATGGAGCATCTCCTGGAAGCACAACAAGCGAAAAAGAAAATGGCCAGGCTCATGCCTGTCATCCCGGCACTTTGGGAGGCCGAGGCGGGTGGATCATCTGAGGTCAGAGTTCATGACCAGCCTGACCAACATGGTGAAATCCCATCTCTACTAAAAATACAAAATTAGTGGGACATGGTGGTGGGCGCCCGTAATCCCAGCTACTCGGGAGGCTGAGGCAAGAGAATCGCTTGAACCCAGGAGGCAGAGGTTGCAGTGAGCTGAGATGACACCATTGCACTCCAACCTGGGCAACAGAGTGAGATCCATCTCAAAAAACAAACACGCCCAGACCTGCAAACTCCTAGACCAGAGGACAGAAAACAAAAGGACCAGAGAGTAACATTTCCAGCTTTGTGGGTTGTAGGATCTCTGCTGAGACTACCCCATTCTGCTGTTGTACCATGAAAGCAGCCATCGTTGATATGTAAACAAGTAGATATGGCAGTGTTCGAATAAAACTTTATTTACAACCTCATGTTCTCATTCATGTGGGCGCTAAAAAAGTGGCTCTTATGAAGGTAAAGAGAGAGAGTTAGGCCGGGCGCGGTGGCTCAAGCCTGTAATCCCAGCACTTTGGGAGGCCGAGACGGGCGGATCACGAGGTCCGGAGATCGAGACCATCCTGTCTAACACGGTGAAACCCCGTCTCTACTAAAAATACAAAAAAAAAAAAACTAGC